ACTTCTACTTCTGCTTCTGCTTCTGCTTCTGCTTCTGCTTCTGCTTCTGCTTCTGCTTCTACTTCTACTTCTACTTCTTCTTCTTCTACTACTACTCCCTGGCAACAGCATGACAGAGCTTTCACTGAAAAGCTCAGCGGTGGGCCAGAAAAGCACGCATGCCATCTTTGAGGCCCTGGACACATCTCTTGTGGATGGGCTTGCGGTGTTTTAGGAGTCGGGTTTCGAGTCTAACTCAATGTAAGATGGTGGCTTTGGGGCATGTTGTAGAATAATCAGCTATCATGCGAAACCCTACGGCATACCAGTGGTAAAAACTTAAGGAAGTTGGGCTTTCCGAATATAGCTATGGTCTAGGATGTTCGCGATTTTATCAGGGCTGTCAGGCCTCAAGGAATCCGGTTGCAACTTCCGAATCCGGAGAGTTGTGGACAACATTGTAAAGTCTCCTGACTGTCAGAACTTCCCAGACCCTACATCAGGTAGAAGCCCTCAGCCCTGGTTCTAGTAATTCTAGTGGGCCCTACAGCCGTGCCTACTGCTTTTGTATGATCGCTTGTATCTTCCTGGTGCCCTGATTAGAACAAGGGCGATACTGGCGCTCATTATTCCTATTACCCTCAGTCCTGTTGCATGCCTGGCTTCCCTGCTATGCTCCTCTTTTCGAAGCAGGTTAAGCTAGGATCAGGATAGTTCGAGGAAATTCTAAACTGACACCCATGTTCGTCGACACATGCCCCCTTTCCGTTGTTTTCTGTTGCCTTTCAAGGATAACACTACTAAACAGGCCTCTGTATCCTGAACCTCCCTAAGCCCAAAACTCGAATCTTAAGCCCCTCTGTGGCATCCAGCCTGCAACCGCCTCAACCCCGACGTTTTAACTTCACCGAAACTCGAAAACCGAAACTGCCTCCCCGCGCCAGTGAAGCTCAAGCCTTGCGTGGCCCAGCTGTTAGCTTCAACTTCTGCTTTTGGGGCTTAGGGGTTTCTGCCTTCCACCTAGCTAGGACAGGGGCTGAGGGTTTAGGGTTTCCTGTTTTTGGTGGGGTTTCGGGTTTAGGATTGTTTGGCAAACGTTCCTCGGCTAGGTTCAAAGCTGTTCGGGCTGAAGGATCCACCCTATCAGGGCTAAGGTTTAGCGGTTGTGGCCTCGATGCTGAGCTCGAACGAGCTCGAAATTGATTAACGAATATACAACTTTCGAACAACAACTTTTGAACAGACCCCAATATCAACCCAAATGCGAGGACCACCGCTTCAAAGAACCCCTTGCAAGTGACTCCACAGTCTCAGAGACGAGCTAAGCTTTCACGGTTTTGGGGCCTGTGTCAGATTCAAGGTTTATAGGATTAACGGAGGCTCCGGATGTGTGGTACCTATAGTCTCCATTGTAGTTCCTTTTTTGGTTTAACCAGTTATATATTAAGGATCTTATATGGTATCCCGAAAAAGGAACTACAATGGAGACTACAGGTATGATTTCAGATTTTAGCACCTCCTCTGTTGACAGCTTCTTCTCCTCGAGAAACCTGCGAAGACCTTGCCCTGTACCCTAAAACTTGGAAAATACAGCTCCGGTTCAGAATTGTAATCAAAGCTACCATCATATGGAAAACATAAAATTCACCAAATCTCCAGATGAATATCTCATTATGACGTGTTGAATTAGAAAACTTGGCAAGAACTCGAAATCTCGAGACAAAGCAGTTCTGCGGCGAGAATGTCCTCACCCATAGCTTTTAAATTTGTCGACAGGGCTTTAGAGATGAGGTTTGGGAAACGGTAACCCCGTAAAGAAATTTGACAAAACCCCCAGGCCCAAACCCCCAACACGCAATCCTTCAAACCGCACAACCTTGTTCTGCATCCTAGAACCTCGAAGCCCAAAAACTAAAACCCTTAAGCAAGGACCCTGAACCCCAAACAGACGGGCTCCCGACAAGGACGAGAAGTCCCGATTTAGGATCTTCGCCCCCGGAGTGATGCTCCTATCAGAACATAGAGGTCTTACCGCCGTAGTCCTTAAGGTTTTGGGGTATAAAACAATATATGTAAGTCTATCCATCATAAAGGGCCATCAAAAAGCAGGGCTTTGGTGTAGAATTCAGCAGAATCATAGCACGAACATGGCTTTCTTCAGGCCCCAACACTATCCGACCGATAGCATGATTGAGTTTTGGGGTTCAGGCCATGAGGTTGAGGGCTCAAGGCTTTGATGTTAAGGGTTTAGGGTTTAGGGTTTCGGGTTTCGGGTTTAGGATTTAGGGTTTAGGATTTAGGGTTTAGGGTTTAGGGTTTAGGGTTTAGGATCAGGCTTGCGGAGGTTTAAGCCCTTACGGGTGGAGTGGTTTCACTTGCAGCAGGTATACCAGAATGGTACTACGTACTGTTAGGGGGGATCCTGCCCTAAATCCTTGTAGTAAGTCCTACGGTAGAAACCCTTCATTCTACGATATAGGTCCCTAGACCCTAAACTCTTTTTGAACGAGGTCTCTCTGAAGCTGGTGAATGATCAAGCTGGGCAGCAGTACACAGCTATGTAATTATGTTTGCCCTTGCCTCTCTTGAAAAGCTAGAGAGATCGATGAAATCGTACTGCTAGAGGCACTTCAGAGAGACCCTAAACCCTACACCCTAAACCCTTTGAGAAAGTGAATTGCAGATTGGGGGGGGGTCAGACATTAGCGCTTGGGTGTTCCGGGGCCAAGGCAACGAGCTGAGGGCTTTACGGTTTAGGCGTTTAGGGTTTAGGGTTTATTTAGGGTCTAGGGTTTAGGGTTTAGGGTTTCGGGTTCTGGGTTTCGACTACATTTACCGGGCCAGGGAGTCGTTGCAGCACCTGTCAGGGTTTACGGCTTAGGGTTGAGGGAAGTCCATGCCAGGACGAGCATGAGACCGGCAAGCAATATTTACCTAAAGCCGCCTGTAGTCTACACTAAGTCCGAAAGCCCAAACCCTGAGCCCCGATCTGTGTGCGCCCAAAACCGCGAGCCCTAAACCCCCGCTTCTAGACCTAATTAGTAGGACTCCAAACTGCTCTTGATAAAGCACTCAGAACGTTGCCCGAACCGAAGAGGGTTTCTGGGGATATGTGCTAACTCAGCCGTGTAGAACTTGCAGGGGTCACATATTCCTGCTTGTTCATGTTCCGATGTCGAGGCTCCTTTACAAGAAGGACTTTTCATTTCACAGAACTACTCAGGTCCCTAAACCCGAAAGGTAAATGCTATAATCTGTACCACTTAAACAGTAGGTTACTAACCATATAAGATGTAACCCAGCAATCCATGATTCAGCTAGTTCGGGCCCCTTTTCAGTTCCCAAAATAGTATGCGGCCCGTATTAAAAGGACCCTAAACCCTAAACCGACCCCAAAAGTGCCTAGTTTAAAGAACTACCGAAGGTCCTTTTCTCGGTAGCCTCGAAGTCCTCCACCTGCGGAGGCAGATGGAGCAAACGGTCATCAGGTCGTTTAGGGTTGAGGGTAAGGCCTTCCTCGTAGAGCAGCGTGTGAGGTTTAGGGTTTCAGGGTCCTTCGGTTTGGCTTGCTTTGGATATTATGCGCCCGCAAACAAATACTATTTGGCACCTGTTGCGTCTGATTCCTTGAATCCTGACAGCAGATACAGACGCATACATCATTCATCCTATTTCTGCTTTACTTTCTGAAGCGCCAGTCTTCCATGTCTCTCTCGCTCCCTCTTTCCCTATCCATGGTTCAATCTGGGAACCCCGACAACATAACGAGCCCCTGAACCCAAAATCCTCCTGCACCAGAGCCGCTTACTCCCAACTTAACATGACCATAGCGTGGCTTTGTAAGATGGGCTTCGGAAGTGCTCATGGCAGGTTTGAGACGGGTATGGTACTGCCCACGGCAGGACCGTCGACTTCAACACCGCGCAGGTTCAAATCTCAACAGCCCCCCGAATTTTTACACCCAATACCCGGAGCTAGGGTTGAGGGATTCAGCACTCACACTCGGACAAGCCTAGGCGAGGTGCACCAGTGGAGGGCTTAGGGTTTAGGGTTTGGGGGCCCTAAACCCTAAACCCTTTGCATGCGATCTCTTTTTCTCTGTAAAGCCATCAAACCAAGCCGGATGCGCCTACTTCAAGCATTTCCAGCCTCATGGTACTAGTACAGTACAGAGTATATAGTATAGAAGCCTCACCAAACTGGACTCAGAATTTAGGGCTTCTAGGTGGCAGATATAAGAGACCCCGCCAGCAATGTTACAGATTTTCCGACCTTTATAATATAGTGAGACGGCACCATCACCCAAACCACTGCATTAAAGCGTTGCTAGTTACTAGTTGCCATGATGACAAATGCAGGGGTCCTTGTAAGAGCCGCCTAAAAACAAACATTGTCAATACCGTCAGCCCTGAACATCACGCCTATCTGCAGCCCAAAACCCAATGCAATAGAAGGCCGCGAGCCCAGCGTGTTTTCGAGGATCCAGCCCTTGAAAGAGCACGCTACGGGATCGAGATGCGTAAACCGGCGAGGTTTAGCTCCCAAGGAGTAGGGTTCGAAATCGTAAACCACCGTAATCCTATGGTCTGGGTTAGGAAGAAATCAACTCAAACGAAGCCTCGCATGTACATTTCGGTGTCCTAGCGAGCTTCTGAGCTGCTGCAGACCACGGAATTCCCGTTTGTGCAAGAATGATATCTATATCGATATATTCATGTCATTATATGTATATTATCAAAATATATATAGATATCAGCATAGAAAGTGTTTCGGAATTTCGGAAAGCTGCTGAAGGCTGCAACGTTTACAAATTCTGGGGTTGCAAAGTGGGCGACTTACAACGCATAGGCGCTGAAAGAACCCATGCATAGGCGGCAGAGGTTCTGATAAGTTTCACTTTTAATGTCTTGTCGCGAAACCCTTCCAGTGCAACATTTCACTGCGTTTAACCACCTTGATGCAACCATGAGCCAGCATCCCTGCGCTCAGCCACCACTAAATTTAAAGCACTCATTCTCATCTCACTCTACGATGATCGTTTCAATCCACTTGGCGTGCTGCCCATCTTTCCTGGCGTCACAGGACATAACGTAGGGGCCTTTTTCGTTAGAGTAAGGTTTTGTGGAATATATGGCACAAGGAGCTTTAGGGAATAGCTTTGGTATGCTGGGAGCCACCGAAACCTCGGTCCAAAGACGGCAGCCCAGGCTCATAACGGGGTTTAGGGTTTAGGGAGTTTAGGGTTTAGGGAGTTTAGGGCTTAGGGTTTTGGGCTTTGGGTTTAGGGCCCTACACCCTAAACCTTTAATAACTCAACAAAACTGGGCGCTCTGTCCTGCTAGGGGGCAATTTCCGGAATAGGGATTCAGGGTTTAGGTTTAGGGTTTCTCAGTTGTTGAATGTATGTGTATATATATATATGTGTGTGTGTGTGTATATTATATATACATATACATATACATATACATATACATATACATATACATATACATATACATATACATATACATATACATATACATATACATATACATATACATATGCATATACATCTACATATACA